GTATTTAAAAGAATAGAAATCACACAGAGTGTATTCTCAGAACACAGTGGAACTAAACTAGAAATCCACAGGAGAAAGGTGGCTGGGAAATCCCAGACACTTGGAGATTAAAATACAAACTTCTAAATAACATGTGGATCAAAGAAGAAATCTCGAGGGAAACTTTAAAATATCTTGAACTAAATGAAAATGAAAACATAACTTAAAATGTGTGGGGTGCAAGGAAAGCAGTGATTAGAGAGGAATTTAAAGCAGTGAATGCAAATGTTGGTAAATAAGAAATACCGAAAACCAAGCATCCAAGCTTCCACTGTAGGAAACTAAGAAAAAGAAGAGAAAAGCAAATCCAAAGTAAACAGGAGACAAGAAATCATAAAAATTGGGGCCGAAATCAATGAAATTGAAAACCGGACACGAATAGAGAAAAACCAGTGACACCAGAAGCTGGTTCTTTGAAAAGATCAATAAAGTTGATGAGACTTGAGCCAGGCTGACTTAGAAAAAGGAGAGGACACAAACTACTTACATCAGAAATAAATAAGGGGACATCACTACAGACCCCACAGACTTTAAAAGGATAATAAAGGGATGTGAACAACTCTGTCCCACAAATCTGATAACCTGGGTGAAATGGTTCAATTCCTTGCAAGACACAGTCAGCCAAAACTCAGAGGAAGAAACAGACAGTCTGAACAGGCCTACATCAGTTAAAGAAATTGAATCGATAATCAATAACCTCCCAAACAGAGAGCACTGGGCCCAGATGGGCTCCCTGAAGCCGCTTGATTCAAGTTAACGACGATGGTGAAGACCGTATTTGGGTTTGTAGGCCTGAAGCCGCGAGGCCCAGCCTCCCTCCCGCACACAGGACTCCATTCCCTGCCACCCTCCATGGGAGGGGGCCCCTTGGAGCAGACTGGGGGCAGGGTGGAGCCACAGCTGCTTTCTAGCCGCACCCGTCCCACTGGCCCTCCCGTCACTGTCCGCCCAGTGTGGCTGGGCCTCGGGCCACACTCACCTGTCTCAAGGTTGGGGTCACTGTCACTGGCCTCCCCGACTTGGCTCCTGGCTTTGCTTCTGCTGCTGTTCTGCTGGTTGACCACCCACTTGAGAATGCTGGAGGCCATCGTGAGCCGGAAATCATCTGAGACGACACAAAGGCCTTGCCCTCTGCCAGTGCTGGGGACTGGGGACCTCAGCCAGTGCCAGTGTCTTCAGCCTAGGTGCCCCACAGCCTACAGGGTCCTTGCCCCCCACCTCACAGCCCTCTGTGGAGCCGGTGCCACCCCCCCACTGCCCCATTCACCCCAGCCTCCAGACGGGGGTCCAGTACACCCTGGGACAGGCCCAGAGGCAGAACTCATGCACGCCCCCCGCCTCCAGAGGACCACCCACCGGCACCCGCACCCCTCCTGCCCCTAAGTCCTCAGCCCTTCCTCCTAGAAGGACCCCTGCTGACAGCACCAGGGCCCTCCCCACCACGGAGGCTCTCCNCAGGCGCTGCCGTGGGAGAAAGCGCTGGGGTTCCTGCTGCTGCTGTAGAGATTACAATATGCACCTGAAAATGTACTGAGGTGAAAACAAGGCAAATTACCATTTTTAAGTGAAAAATGGCACTTCAAGTTTCCGGTTTGGCATGTAAGGAGCTTAGAAGTAGCTTTTTCATCTTAACAACAAGTAAAAAACTAAACAAACTAAGAAAGCACCAACTCCTGTTAGATCCATGAGAGAAGTGAAGTCACAGGGCAAACCACTGCAAAGCTGGAGAGACCAACAGGCAGGCACGGAGAGCCATCCTGATGGGACCAGAGGCGGAGAGCAGGAACCCCATGGGGACCAGAGCCGGTGAGACAGCCCTGACTCACTGACACACTCCTGGAAGCTCGGAGGGGACAAGTCTGAACGTGAAAAGCTCCAGGTGGTGCAGTCGTAGGGGCCCCCACATGTCTGTGAGTTTCACCCCTAGAAGACTGACCAGGTTCCCACAGTGAATATCTGAGAAAAACCCCTTTGTGCTTCTGGCAGGGAAAGGGGCAAATAGCCACCATGAAGCGCGCCAGACCGCCCTGTTCTTAACCAGGTCTGCCCTCGGAGGAATAGTTAACCAGAGCCTGCCCAACCTGGGAGAAGAGAAATACTCAACTCCAGCCCCTCCAGCCGTGTGTCCCACCAAAGGGGGGAAATGGAGACGCATACGGGGAGCACAGTGCAGGGTGCAGGCTCACTAAAGACTGACCCGAATCGTGGGACCACAGAACACTGCCCCCACACCTGACACCACATCACAAAGGCCCATTTACTGCACTTCCTGCTACCCAGGACATGTCCATCTCTCAACAGAAGACGACAAGGCACAAGCAAAGGCAAGAACGCCGTTGGGAGACACAGAGCAGCAGCAGAACCAGACGTAGCAGGGATGCTGGAAGTATCCCACGGGAATTTAAAGCAACTATGACTCTTGTGCTAGGGCTCTAATGGACGAAGCAGGCGGCACATGAGGACACATGAGCAATGTCATCAGAGGGACAGAAATTCTAAGAACCAAAAGAGAAACGAGGGATCAAACACTCTGAAACAGAAATGGAAAACGCCTCCGATGGGCTCACTCGTGGACTGGACATGGCTGAGGAAAGAATCTCTGAGCTAGAGGGCATATCAATAGAATACCCCAAAAACTGAAAAGCAAAGAGAACAAGACCGAAAAACATTGAACAGAATATCCAAGGACTGGGGGAGAATTGCAAAAGGTGTGATGTGCGTGATGGGAACACCAGGAGGAGAAGAGAGAGAGAGAGAGTAACAAACAGAAACAAAATGTGAAGCAATAGTAGCTGACAGTTCCCTCAAGTTAACATCAGATACCGGTAAACGACAGATGCAGGACTCCGAAGAGCATACATACCAAAAACAAAAACATGTGAAAATCTACACCTTGGCTTATTATGTTCGAAGTGCAAAATATCAAAAATAAAGACAAAAATCTTAAAAGAAGCCAGAGGCCAAAACACCCCGCTTACAGAGGAACAAAGATAAGAATTATATCCAAACTCTTCTCAGAAGCCATGCCAGCAAAAGGAAAGTGGAGAGAGATAACTTAAGGTGTTGAGAGAAAAAACACCAGCGTAAAATTCCACATCTTGGGAAATTGTCTTTCAAAAGTGCAAGAGAAGGGCCGGCCGAGTGGCGCGTTGGTTAGGAGTTTGCTTGGGACACC